AAGGGGTCTCTCTGCCTGTTTTAATCTGCAGACCACTTGCTCAGCAATAGAGGGACTTGGGTTTCTCAGCAGCAGCTGTTGGGAAAGGGCTCAGTGCATCATGCGCCGGCTTGCCTCTCAGGCTTGCAGTCCGCTTCCTGCAATTAGCTTCTGTATGCTTTGGAACTCTGCTCACCACCAAGAATCCTCACAGGTTGTTGCGGATTCTCTGCTGCTGCAAAAAACCCTCTGTGGCCTGCGGAGGTAGGGGCCAGGCATCAGGGGCTCAGGGTACCCTCGGCAACACAGCTCTAGGTGGGCGGGGCAGGCCCCCAAGGCACCACAGGATGTGGTCATTGGTCCCCACACGTCAAAGCAGCATGCACTCCTGCACTGGCAAGCAGCCCGCACAAACGCGCCAGGAATGCCCCCGCCGGATCATGCTCCCAGCTCAAGCACTCCCAGGAAAACTCCCAGTATCTGCCTGTCCCAATCAGCCTCTGGCAGATCAGGCTGAGTAGCCCGACAGCCAGTCGACAGCCTGGCAACTCTGCACGCGCAGTCCAGGGAGTGGGTACCCAAGGCGGCTTGCACCCCCACGTCTCAATGAACAGCTTGTTGGAGCTGGAGCACGCTCGCCAGGCGTTTCCCTGGCTACGCAACACAAGCAGTGTGGAGGGTGGGGATCCAAGGCCGCATGTGTGCACACACATGCATGCCTGCGCCAATTCCAGCAGACCAATGTGGTCCCGGACCTGACCCTCTGTGGGAGGGCCCAACCCCAACCCTGAAAAATTGGCACCCCCTTCTATACTACTCGTGTGCAAGCTCCGCATCAGAAGGACAATGGTCCCAAAACCTTTAGCTCCTGTCCCAAAGGCGCTCAGTTCAGTCCTTCCTCGCAGGCTCCTTGGCCCCCACTCACTCTCGGAGTCATTCCCTCCACCAGGGACCAGGTGAGTGCTCTCCAGCAAGCAAGTCCATGTCCAGGCTCCACTGGTTCTCTAGCTGCCCTCAGCCTTACCGAGTTGAGCAAAGAGAGTCCTCACTAATTTCTCCTGCTAGCTATTTTAGAACTCCTCTTCTCGGCAAAGTAACTCTGGGCTGGTGAGCTTGGTGTGGGGCCGGAGGGTCTCTCCCCCAACTGGGAAAATCTCCCACCGCTGAGGTGTCCCTCAGGGGGTTTGCCCTCCCTTGTCTTTGTCCCTCCTACCAGATTCAACGTGGCCTCCTCTTTAAGTCCTTTGTTTAGGGGTTCTGTTCATCTAGTGTTCAGGGGACTTCCGAGGTTGAACATTGTATAAATTAATTGTAATTTTGGTGTGATCCTGGGAGGCATTTGGCACAGTGTCTGTCTATTCTGCCATCTTACTGGAAGTCCCTTTGTTTTTTTGATTTTTGTCATGTTAGTGGTTCGGAAGTGGTATCTCATTGTGGTTTTGATTCACGTTTTTATGACTGATGTTGAACATTTTTTTATATCCTTATTGGCTATTTGTATATGTTTTTTTGCAGAAATTTCCATTCATGTCTTTGTCCATTTAAAAATTGAGTTACATTCTTTTTACTGTTGAATTATAATCATGACTGCATTTTGAAGGATTTTATTTCTTTAGTAGTAAAAATTCTGGGTGATGGAGAAGTCATTAGTATTTATTGTTTCCTCAGTTAAATTATTGGGGGAAAAATCAAGAGATAATACTTCATTTCTCTCCATAAGAAAAGAACGTAAGTATCAGTTTTTGTTCACAGTTTTTTTGTTTCAGTGGATGCATGAACAGAAACTTTTGAGTTGTCGGAAAAGGCATGACGCATTTTTGAAATGAAAAACATACAAAAAATACGTCATGACTTTTCTGACAACCCAGTAGATTTAGTGGGTTTACGGAATGAGTAGGCAACGAAAAAGAATTTACATTCTCCAGGCTACTGTTTGAAGATATTTTTGATGAAAGGTGAGAAAAGAATTTTATTGATGGTTGGAGTAGAGGTGGTGGTGAGACAGATTTGTTTGTTTTTTCTTTAAGAATAAGTGGAGAATCAATCACACTTTTTTGGTGAGGGGAAGGAGGAAATGGAGGGAGGGAGGAAGGCAGAGTGAAATTGTGAGCTAATGATGAGTTAAGTCAAATGGAGCATTATATTGCTGTTCTAGCAATATGTAATTTTGAAGAAGTCCTTTATCCTTTTTGGACTTCATTTTTCCCATATGTGAAATGAGGTGATTTAGTCAAATAATCAGCAAGCAGTTGTGGCTCTGAAGTTCTAATTTTTAATCAACTAGACCGAATGGTTCCTTCCTTTTTCCCTGAAGGTTTTTTCTTTCTAAAGTGTTCATTCTTATGCTGTAGTTTTCTAGTTTTAATAAATTTATTCAGTTTTTACTAGTTCCAACGCATTACTATATACAGATTAACTTTTGACATGGAGGTAATGCTTGATTTTTTTTTTTTTGTCCCTTTAAGACAGGGACAGATCTTTAGGATGTTGTGGTTATACTAATATACTGAGTGTCTTATAATAACAGCATAAAAATGATTTGTTTTACATCATATTTATGTGTTTTCATTGTCATTTACAATTAGTGTGTGCTTTTTATAGTTTTTGTCATTTTGCCATTGCAAATCCTAATTTAGCACACCAATCTTTTTCAAAAACTTATTAGAAATAAGTTGTTTTATTATTAGTTTTTTTATTCTGTAGTTTTTTTTGGTTTTTTTTTTTTTGATATGAGATGTTAATTCCAGGATGTTTTAAAGTGTTAAAATATAGATTGTGTATTTTTATTTTCTATCTAGATTTTTTTTAAAGATGGCACAGCGTGTTTGACTTTTCATTTAATGTGATATGTAAGTCAGCTTATTCAAGTTGACATTTTCTTCAGCTAAAATTTCTATTTGTGGTTACACTTACTGCTGCATACATTCTTACTACTTCAGACTACAATACTTTGCAGTACTTTTATTCTATTTCTGAATATATGAACTACCTTTGGTGAAAGTGACCTCAATTCATACTGTGCGGGTTTTCCTTTTTTCTAGATAAAGTATTTGTAACCTTGGTCAAAGTTAAGTTATTAGATTACGTAGGTATTGTAAATATATGTATCTTATTGCTGTAATTTAAAAGAGCTGAAAATTGGTTATCTTGAAATAATTGTTTTTGATGTGGTAGATAGGCCCTTTTTCATTATAATTTATACTTGCTTGAATGTTCCATTGGAAGCAACATGTAAATTTAGTAAAAGCTGTACAAAAATTACAGAATGATATGTAGTTTCCCCAAAGTCCTTTGCAGTTCTGCAAACTAACAGCAGAGGATCTCCTTTACACCCAGTTTTCTTCTGAGTATAGTTAATGATAGTGTCTGTGATTATACTGTTAGGGCATTTTATAGACTAAGAGAAAGTGGCTCAAGAGAGTTCTTTGTTGGACATAGATAATCTAATATGATAAAACATTATCCTTATACTCTAGAAATATTTGGAGGTTGGGTATTGTTTAGTAATCATGTTTTATATTAAATGGTATTAATAATTGTAAACTTCAGAATCCTTTAAATAATGGACCTTTCAGAGGAAATATGAAATGCTGAAAATGCACAGTGCCCAGAAATTCTTTGTATACACGTGTTGCTCAGAACAAGTGTTCAAAGGGAATGAATGTGGAATAACTTAATTTTTCAAATTGATTACTTAAGTATTAGAAACAAGTATTTTTTACCACTTGGCTAATAGCAGGACTTACAGGAATTAATAGGTGTACCACTTTCATTTTTCTTGATATTAATTAGATAGATAGGTCCTTTGAAATGCAGTTTTCTCTGAAAGTATGTAATTCTAACTTATGTCTTATTTAAAAAAAAATTGTTCCATGAAAACTAACTTTAGAGGAAAGGATTTAACATCCAGTTTGATGAATGACAAGGGCATAATAGGTTTTTGAAACCATTGGAGGTAGCTTAATACTTTCTAAGAAAATGATCATTGGTTTATGTTCAGTAAATGAAAATATTTTGTTTTGAAAATTAGTTATTGAGAATTTTTAAACATGTTTCACTTATAGAACTTGGCAGTTATTGTTAATTCTAGAGATAGGAAAGTTAGTGCTTTATAAACCGAAGGAATAAAAAATAATAATGAAAGGTAAATGTTGGAGTTAATCTGTTTTTTTCCACGTTGTTGGAGGACAAATAACTTTTTGTTTTGTATTCTTGTGTGTCAGTATTTCCTGTTTGAGATGCTTATCTTTCATCTTATTGGAAATAATTGGAGCAGAAATATTATATTTATTTCTCTGCAATGTTTCATGAAAAATGTGATGTTATATTGATTCTTCCTATAAAGGCAAATATTTTTCAGGAATTTCAGGGAATGCTTATAAAATTTTTGAGTGTGATCTGTTTGTTTTAAATGTAAACGTATGAAGAGCAATTTATGCCATGTCTCAGATTTCCTGGGTGAAAAACCTCAGACCTACAATTGTATTGACCCAGAAAAGGGAAAAGATGTAACATTTTAGGATATATTTGGATATTCTTTTTGTGTGTGCGTAATATAAGTTGAAGACAAAATACATTTTTAAGATTGTTCTTGTAGTTAATGTTGTTTAGGCATAAAATGATATTAATAGTAATTTATTAAAGTTAATATCTACCATGTGTACAATGCAGTCAATTGTTTATATTAGTAGAAAATAATGTACATTTTAGCAGGCAATAAAACATTAAATGAGAATTATGTATAGAAATAAAATGTGAAACTTAAAAAGTAAAAAAAAGTAGGGATGTGAAAGAAATACCTTATATTTAAATCTTTTAATTCTGACTTATTTAACATCAAATTGAATAAAATAAAATGATTCGGAATCATTTTATGATTCGGATGATTTGGAAGTGGAAAAAGACATTGGAACATATTTAGAGTGCAGCTGTTGTAGAGCAAATTGAAACTGACGTATTTCATCCTGTGCTTATTAAAACTTTGTCTCTGTGAACATTTGAATCTTTCCTTTTTGTTTCAGATCTTTGGTCTCCAGGCAGGACTGACTTCTTTGGATTGTAGGGGATCCTACTGCTTACCTGTACCGCTGATTCCCTCTTTCAGCACTGCTCTTTATGGAAAACTTCTGAAACTACCCACATGCTGGTAAGTACTATGTTAAAATGTGGTTTATGGTAATTTTTATTATCTTAGGAAGGGGAAAAACCCATTGAATCTGTCTTATGCCAGTGTGTTAGTTTTATACAAAACCTTAGAAAATGATCTGAATTTATACTGTCTTTTACTGAGACACTAAAAATCTCTTTTAAATGTCTCAAGTGTATTAGGCATAATATCTTTTGTGGTAGTGATGACTGTTGTTGGGGTCATAACTAACGCATGTTACAGTTATAGTAAAATGTTGTTGCTTCATACATAGGAATTGCAATGGTAAATATTTTTCCTTTTTTCCTTTCTGAGAGGATACAAAGATTAAAGGAAAAGTTGCATATTAATATTAAGGCCAATGTATTTACCACCTAAATAAAAATTTTATGTGTATTCATAGCCAGTGAAAAAAGTATACCCCTGACATACATTTAAAATATTTGAGATGTTTGTATGTAATCACTGAATTTTGGAAGAAATTGATTTTAGCCCTTATTTTCATTCAGTATTGGGTTACTTTATTTGGAGGTCATATTTCCCTGAATTTGAAGAGATTTATAGGAAAAAAGCCAATAGTTACGAATCATATGTTTTGTTTAGTTGAAAGCAAACTGTTAATATATTAAATAAATAATTGTTTAAATATATAAAATTATATTCTAGTGAAATATGTCTACATTTTAAAATTTAGATTATTTCAATTATTTGGAATATATCTTTGCTTTCTCATCCTAATTAGTAAGGTTATTTTTAGAGGATACATTTTCTATTAATTATTTATGAAAAGCAACATAACTGTCATAAAATAAATATTAATTTCTTATATAAAGTATTTCATTTGCTAATAATGTTTCTTTAATAATACATAATTTATATAATTTTTAGAATGACATTTGTAAAATAAATGCTCACATTTTCAAAGAAATTTCCTACTGATTTACAAGATTAAAAAAAATACTGAAATTGTAGTTAATTAAATCTTGGAACTAGTTTTTCTACAAAATTAAACTATTAAATGATTATTCTTATTTTCTCTTGATATGTTTAATTTTGTTCATAGTTTTCCATCTTCCTTATATGTAATTCATTATGTTGTTTAGAGATTCACTTTCAAACGTTATATTTGTGCATAAAAAGCATGTTGCATTTGAGTCAGTTTTATATTCTGATCTATTAAGAAATACCGTGGGGGTATGTTCCAGTTGATATGTTGATATCAACTTTAATAGATATTTGTGAATATTGTTATCTCAATTATATACTTATTTATCATATATAACACTGAAATTTTATTAAAAACACAATGCAATTTACTATAGAAAATGCTTAAAACTTTTAAAAATAAAAAGCCCAAATTTCCAAAGTGAGTTAAAACCTTCATATAAAAAATATTGAATATTTAAATATGCCTGGCTTATTTTAAGGACTTATAGGGCTTATTAAAATATTGTCAAATATGATTTAGAATTTGTCTGCTGACATCTAAAAGAAAATATTCCAATTAAATACTTAAAGCATGAGGTCACAGAATGCTAATATTTATTTGGATATGACTTGCTTTTTTGTAGTTAAGACCACTTCTCATTATTTCACTGATATTTTTGCTATACTTTACAGAATTATATTGCTCTGAAATAGTTTCTTTCAATTGTTTTACTTAATAAATAGAAAAACTATAATTAGTCTATTCTGAGGAACTCTATATTGAAAGTAATAAATACAAACCTCAGTAAACTGAGATGTATCATAGTTATATGAAATGTATAAAATACCAAATAAAATATATCATATAGTGCTTGAATTAAATCAAAATCACATGAGAACTGAGAGATTTATTTAACTCATACAGTGAGTGAGGAGTTTTTTAGTAAGGCACCCTGGTTATGTCATTAAATGTCAACTCTGTTTGCATTCATGGTCTCTCCCTTCCTCAAGTTATACAAGCTGTTTCATTTGGATTTTTAAAATTCACATTCCAGAGTTTCTTAAAGCACATTTATGATGCTGTGTATATATTTCATTCAATAATGAGAAGAGCATATTTACAACAGGCTACAGCTTTTGAAACAAGAACATTTTATAGCAAGCATACTGAAAAAAAATTTAGTTGGGTATGTTTGACTTAGTAATGAAAATTTAGACTATGTAAATTATCACAACAGTTCATATTTTTTTGTTTAAAAATATTTTTAAATTGAGCCTTTAATTGTGTATGAAGTTTCAAACTAATTACCATTTACTTTAATCAGGTTTGCTAATAAATTTTTAAAAATATGTGGTTTAAGTAATATTGAAAATAGGTTATTTTTCTCCCATTTAACTGTTCCTATTGATGTACTTTAGCCTTAATGAGCAAGTTATTACTAAACTCCTATTTCTTAGAGTTTATTTTTTTCAAATTATTTGGTTATATTTTATCTTTTATTCTATATCACATAATTTCCAAGCGTATAAACTTTTTAACAAAAGTTTTTCCTTATTGTTTTATATCAGGTTACACTTACTTCTTTTAGCTCCTGAGGACAAGATTGAAATATATAGGATATGGTTGGTGGGAAAGACACAGTGACCAATGACATTTAATGACAGAAATCTTGAGCAATTAATTTAAATTTTAACTAACCTCTTTTTTTTTTTTTTTTAAACAAAGAGGATGTTTTAAAAATGGCAGTAAAGGGTTGGTGTAAGGGCAGCAAAGTATCATAACTACTTGTTATGTCTAGCAGAATTAAGCCTTAGTCTCTGTAGATTGTTATATTTAAAATTTCTAAAGTGGGTAATGTCTTTATGCTTCTAAGATGCATTCTTGGACTTAACATTTTTCTCAGAACTGAGAAATAATAAGTATTTCAACTCTTATTTTAGAATTTTTAATTGAAATATTAATAAATTATAGAAAGTGCATATATTGTGGTATTTCATAACTGAATAGATCCTTGGTAACCAGCTGAAAGATAAAAAAACAGTATATTATTAGCATCCAAAAAGTCTCTCTCATTCACCCTCCTCCCAAGGTTAACCATTATCCTGATTTCTAATAGTATAGATTGGTTTTAAATGTTCTTGGGTTTAGTATAATGTAAATAAATGTATCATTTATTGACTGGCTTCTGTCACTCAAAATGTTTGTGAGATTCATCCATACTATGGAATGTAGTTTTTATATTGTTTGCTTTTGTCAGTATACTGTATTCTATTACATGAACATTGACGATTTATATTTCCTTCATCCACAATTTTAATTTAAAAATAAGTACTTGAAGTTTGTGTCAATTTATTTTTTTAAATTTCTTTGCCATTTTCCTTAAGAAGCTTCAGTTGTATTAGGGGAGATTAGATGTCATTCATTAAATATTTTTTTGATTTTTCAGTGTTTTGATAGCCATCACGCTACGTGTTAGGATTGGGGAAAGAATAAAATAGAATGCAGTGAGGGTAAGGAATATTCCCAGATCATGAAAACTTACAGTCTTGTTAGGGAGGACACTAGACACATATGAAAACAGTGGTCTTTAAATTAAAAAATTGAGGCTTAAGCAAAATATCCTTTTTAAAGAAAATAGAAAATTTCCCTCGACAACAGGGTTGGCTTCAGAGAAGTTGGGCTTTAATGGTTGAATCAGATAGATATGCAGTTATTGAGAGGTTGGTTGGAGTGTGGAGGCTTCTAGGGGATATATTGTCTGAACAAATGCAGGGTTTTCCATTGTATCTGGGAATGGATATAGTGGGGGGCGGAATTTGGAAAGTTACTTTGGGCTTAGTCTTGGACATGAATAAGGATGTCTAAGCTTTTTAATATGAACTTAAAAATAGTTAAACCAGTTAATCAAGTATTCATTAGCCACATTTCTTCCTGATCAGGCTTGTTCAACTGCAACCATGATACAGTCTCAAGTTCACTTTCTCTTATAATTGAGGGTTCAGAAATGTGACCTGGTGTATGTGCACTACATTTTCTTTATTTAATCATCTATGGAATATTACTTGGCCATTAGAAAAGATGAAATACTGTCATTTGCAACAACATTGATTGATCTTGAAATTATCATGCCTAGCAAAATAAATCACACAGAAAAAGTTGAGAACCAAATGATTCACTCAACATGTGGGATATAAAACTGAAAGCAACAAACAAATAAGACAAACAAACAAACAAAAAAACAAACAAAAACTCATAGACACAGACAATAGATAAGTGGTTACCAGAGGGGAAGGGGGAGGTAGAATAGGGAAAAGGAAGTTAAATATATGGTGATGGAAGGAGTACTGACTCGGGGTGGTGCACACACAATGCAATATATAGATGATGTATTATAGAAATGTGTACTTGTCATCTATATAATTTTACTAACCAATGACACTCTAATAAATTTAATTTAACAAAGACATGTGACCTTATTCACAGAGAGATAATATGCAACATACTTTGGAATTACAGAGAAAAATTACTTTGGCTTAGAAAGTTATGGAGAACATGAACAAGGTAACTTTTCAGCAGTTTATTAAAGAATGGGTAGAATTTGAAAGATAATTCTGTATTTTTTTATCCATTGTTAGGTACTTAGTTTAACGAACTTTTAAAAAGAAATTTACTTGGGTGACAGTGGTTAGTGAAATTATATTGGTTTCAAGTGTACAATTCTATAATACATCATCTATATATCACGTTGTGTGCTCACCACCCAGAGTCAATGAACTTTTCATAACAACCCTGTGAGATAAGATATTCCCGCTTATAAAACTAAAACTCAGAGAGATTGTGTAAATTGTCTAATGTCACACAGGTGCTGGACAAGGATTATCATGGAGGGTTATCTGATCCAAAGTCCTTGTTGTCTTTCTTACCTGAAGGAGTGAAGACATACATTATCTTTTATGAATCATCTTTCAAGGCTCAATGTACTTCTTGCCTTATATAGTAAAAGTGGATTTCCATGTACTGAGAGGCTAATTATGACAGTGCAGCTAATCCCCTAGTATCAGTTAATAGTGTG